CGATAAATGATATCAACATTCAATTTTATACCAAATGAAAGCCCGTCAAAAACGAGATTTAGGAGTATAACTCGTCATTCTTAAGATGAGAATGGGCTATAGAATTATAGCCAGATTCAAGTGGTTGAACACTCACGTGGGTGAGTAGTGAATCACAAAAACATAAATTTTTCAGAATTTTTTTTGTCTATCAGACTTTGTAGAGCTCTCTTTGCTGATCATTTTGCTAAAAAAACGTCTTTAAATTTGATCAATAAATAATGGTACTAAAGTCAAAATACTCAAAAATATCTTAGCTATATCAACGAGAGAATTTTGAAATTTCCAGTATTTTGACCCTAGCGCCGTTATTTATTGATCACGCTCAAAAGATTTTTTTACCAAAATGATCAGCAAAGAGAGCTCTACAAAGTTCGACAGACAAAAACGATTTCTGATCGCCCCATGGAAAAACATCTTTGGCAACCCTGTACAACCAGCACATAACCAGCCGAAATAGGCTTTATAGATAATTTAATATTATGATATTAGTTGAAGTACGATCAAATAGCATAGAAAGATAGAGTTTTTTTTTCTCTATCAGACTATATAGAAAGAAAGTTATTTAAGCCTACTATACGGTATTAAAGTGTCACTGCCCGTACTTTTGGTATGTCCTAAGTATATTATACAAATTTTTTTTTTGTTTTAAAAAGATCCAAATTAAAATAAACAATTAAAAATTTTTCAGAATAGAATAGACAGGCTTAATTTACTTCTCAATGATCAGAAGTACACAAAAAGACTTTATTTAGCATGACCATTCATTCATGATTAAGAAAGCATTCATGACAAGACCAAATCTGAAATTCTGCCTCATATCTTGAAGAGACTGTGTTCAAAGCTTATAAGGTTTTTGTATGGAAGTTAGTTTAGTACCTCTAAAAAATGGACATATTAAAAATTTGATAGCTTAGTCCAAGATCAATAGGAACTGAAATCCTTTAAAGATTTTAATTAGAACACTATATAGCATCTATAGGCAAAGAAAAAATCATTGAAATCGGAAGAGAATAGTTGAAGCGGTTTCCTCGTAAATTATTATGATTTCAAAATGACTAATTCCAATTATGTATATAAAGTTGTTCTCTGGATATACTGTTTTTTGAAAGTCAAAAACAAAAAGACTTTATTATGTATTACCTTGTAGGAATATTTAAGAACTTTAAATATATGGATAAAAGCTTGAAAACATCCTCTATCACCCGTACAAAAGCAAGTTTCTCTGGTAGAACGATAAGAGAGATATTCAATCTTTTTTTCCGTCTAGTGGCTTTTGAGACATCTTGTATATAACTTGAGACTATCGTATTAGAGGTCAACATTTCCGTTTCTATTGAATATCATATGTTATCCATTGATTCTTCAAAAAAAAAAAAATTTTTCTTAAATTAAGTCGTATTGACATCAGTATTTTACTAAAGATCATAGGAAAAAAAGAAATTCTTGGTATTGACTTCCGCTGTGCACTTCACGACAATTGCCGAAAGGTCATTGTAAAAGTCACGTCGACAAAATTTATATTATCTAGGATAATTTTACAGCACACAATAATCATGTTACTGTCAAAAACAAAAATCAATAATTTCAGATAATAAATACTATAGTCAACGGTTTTGTTGGTTATAGACAAGTAAATAATGTTGTAAAAATTATGTGTTTTTTTTTTGTGTCATTGAATTCGTTCTATTAAAACATCATAATTAATTAGATTGGAAAAAAATTATTCGTCATCTAATAGTAGATATAAAAATATGCGCATTGAGAAGCATTTCATTCAATCATAATTCATTAAAATAATAGAAATATTCTAGCATATGCTTATCAGTCATTTATTCTTGTTTAATAATCATAAATTCTATTGACAAATATTTATCAACGAATACTAATTCAAATAAATAAAAAACTAGAGAATTGTTTTTTTTTTCTTTTTTATTCTCAAAAAAAAAAAATTTTCTAACATCTGATCGTTTGTCTTTCCTACTAGAGACAATGAATAAAATTACGACATTTCCTCATCGCTCATATATATGTATATATAAATAATAAAATTTTCTTTATAGACACGCCTTAGAACACATCCTTAATCTATATAATGAATTCATCATGTCATGTAAATGCTAATTCAAATGTAATTTTATCATTTTTTATTTTTGGTTGTTTATTTACAATTATTGGTACTGTACTTAATTTTTGTTTATGTTTACTTTTTTGTCGTGCAAAATCACTTCTTAATACACCATATGCTGTATTTATAATTGCTTTATCAATAGCTGATATTATTAAATTAACAGCAGAATATTTAGTACATATTTTATTTTTTTATATTCAACATCCATATTTTGTTTGTTCAATAACATGGTTTTTAACAATGACTAGTGAAAATTCATCTTATGCATTTCTTTGTGCTTTAGGTAAATCAAGACTTTTTTTGAATTTTGTATCATATTTAAGAATTCAGAATCGATGAAAGAGCAATACTTCGGTCGCAGATATAATAAGATTTGGGAGAACTTTTTCTTCATCAGAGAATTTTCTCTTTGAAAATATCAGTATCAAATGATAAGTATAGACTAATTTATGAATACCCATAGTTCGTTAGATTAATTTATATCTAAACTTCAAAACATACTTCTATGTCTTAGATTACGGTGCGACACGAAGATCAAAAATTCATCCACGAGAAATGTCTAGCTAGAAATTGAATTTATTTGATCTTTCTGCTCATGTTCGGCTTTAAGCCCCCCCCCCCCCACTCCAAAAACTATCTCGGGTCAGGAACATGCAAATTGACTGAAATGTTTAGGGTATGTTGGGACTGTAGTGGAGAGGCTATGGTAAAAATTTCAGCCCTGTATCATGACGTTGAAGGGAGATATTCACCAAACAAGGGTCAAAAATAGCTCATTTGGCATCCAGAAGTTCTTAATGGGTCTTCATTCTACAGACTTAATTTTTTGTTTGTTTGAAAGAGCATGTCAAGATGCAGGGCATGTCGTTGTCCTTTTTTCTAAATTCTCAGTTTTTATCTGAAAAACAAAAGAGACAAATTGAAGGCCTAATAAATCTCTATAAAAGTGGTGATTTTTCTATATATGTGCCTGTATGTATAATAAAACCAAGCGTAATTAAAAAAAAGGACAAATTTTTGGATGCGCTTTTGAGAAAGTGGAAACTGAGAAAAAACGGAAAACATTTTTTGATTTTTCAAAAAACAGCTGGTTTTTCGAATAGGGGGTGACGAAAATTTTGGACAAAAAGGAGGTATCGAGGAAAACTTTCTATCAGTTATGAAAGAGCAAATCACGTGCTATCTTCCCATGTATTTATTTCAAGTTCGAGAATTCCGACGAAAATTGACTTTTTTTGAGTGGGGGGGGGGGGGGGGGCGGCAAAACATACCCCGCGTGCTCGCGGGAACTCAGGTTGGGAAGATG